CATCTCTTGCCGCGAGCCAACTCGTTAGACGCACTTGCGCACATATCCATTACGCATTATCGTAGCCATGTTGTGTAGGTCTTAAACGAGTAAGCTACGATTTCTCATGTTACATGTTATGCGAAAAAAATGCAAAAAAAAAATTATATAGAACACGAGCGGAGAAAAAGAAATTTTGCGAAACGACGAACAATTTCTCCCGGTCAGTTGCAGGATCGTTTGAAGTTTGAGCTACACATTGAAAATACGACAAGCAAACGGGACAACGAGAGGGATGATAATAAGTAATAAAGAACAAAAAAAAATGCGCGAATTCTGCACACTTGACGCTACGTGCGATTAAGTCGAATTTTACTCTCGCCGATTGCGACGCTTTGTCACGATATTTTCGCGATTCAATTTAGTTTTTCTTTCCTTTTTTTCGCGAGAAGAACCACTGCAGTGTGACAGAAATGTCTTTTATTGTAAACCGTTGATATTCGAATTGCTACGATAAGAATCCGTGTACATACAATTTTGACAGTGGAAGTAAGGAAAAAATGTCCGTTTAACGCATCGCGAACAAAAGTAAAGTGTTTAAGCCGATTAAAGAATTGTGAGACAATCGTGTGTCTATCAAAAGATCGGATTTAATCAACTATATCGTTAAGTTACGTATTAATTATTAATTTCTTATAAGATGCGATACAAGAATTATTCTTTCAGTTTGATGAAGTTTGATGATTATTTTAAAAAAGGTATTTGAACTTTTCATAAGACTATTAACCGTGGCAAATTATCCGAAATTTTGTATGTCTACTTAACAATTATTTTACATTTACGTCGGTTGTGAAATAATTTTATGAGTGAAACAGATTATAACGGATAAAGTTTAATTAAACATAGTTTAAGTCACATTATAATAAAGTTTACGTTAATGTGAGACATTGTACGACAAAGCGCAATGCTGCGGATGGGATCTTGTTCTCCAATGCGTTAAAACGGAGCAGTACGAAGCGAACGTCCGTTTAAAACTTGTTCCACTTTGCTCGTAATGAAGATTACGCTATTCACAAGATAACGCTCTTTTAGCAACGTACGGCGTACGGCGTACGGCGTACGGCTTGTCGCGGATTCGCACCACTCTTCGCATGTTAACCGCTCATTCCTTCACTTTCGCCACTCGGCGACGCGTTCCTACGGAATTTTCGCGGGAGAAACAGATTTTCACGTTCTGCCTTTCGAAAGGGGCCGCGTGTCTTCTTGGCGCGCGGCACCTTTCAAGCGCCGTGACAGTAAAGTGGCCTCGTATGTGGCGAAAGTACTTCTTGCATGATTAAATCCGAGTCTCACGAAGGCGCGCCTTCGTCGTATATCACACCTTTACCTGGATTTGATATGTCACATCGTGCAACAGAAAAGTACGTGAAAAAGCGATTGAGAGGAAAAAAAACTGCGTTATACAATAACTCGAGAGAGTAAAAACATATTAGGCATTTATTTAGAATACTTGTCGAGAGAAGAGTTTCTACTATGTATTAATTGCGTAAACTTACATAGTCAGTTACCGATTGTTAAAAGAGACAAGCAGCGTTGCGGTAGCGATATGTATAACTTAAAATCTCATGCAAACGATTCTTCAAAGTTCCGAAAAAAAAAGTCTCGCTTTAAGCGCCGAGTATTAAGTATAGCCGGCGCTGTTTTGACTCTTCAAAATGTCACTTTGATTCGCGAGTAATTTGTTGATACGCAGTCGACAATAATCAAGTAACAAGTTTACATTCTATCTCTACTCCATAATATTCCAATATACAAACTCAACAAAAAGCAAGGATTAAAAATGTTAATGAATCGATCGAGCTCTATACTTGTATCTCGCTCGACTTTTATTATAGACATATCGCGATACTCGCGGCATAGATTTCCTGTTCCCGCAATAATCTTTACGGAAGCAAAGTATATCGTTTTCACGATGTAGCTTGTTCCTCAGTTCTTAACGCAAAAATTCTAAACATATTAATGACGATACGCTTAGACGGCTGACTCGGCAGTATTTATGTTATGGGATAACATTTTATGAACATTTCGCGAAGCTCTCTCCCTTGAAGAGAGAAATGAATCGATCATCCCAGAGTTATAAGGTTCTCTAATATTCTATAAAGTCAGTGCGATTACCGCTCTCTCTCTCATCCGACTTTGTTGACAAATTTCTCTTTTACTCTGTTAAAATTATTCTTATCGCTGTTGTTGTTGTTGCTCTATCATTACGGTTACACGAATTTAAAAAAAAATTGACTTCAGAGTATAAACGTTATACGAGGATTAAAGTACTAACTATTTCTCAGCTGTTTGAGAGCAAGCGAGCGTTATGCAATAACGTTCTAATTAGGGGAGATGTACGATATATGAAACCGTGTCGGGAGAATCGCTGAATTCTTTTAATTACATCTCGACATACTCTCGTATCTATAGTTATTTATCTAATTACAATTTGCAAGTTAGATCGCAGGGACAAGTAAAAAAAAAAAGATATTGCAATGGACTCACATCAAGCGCTCTATTTTCTCCTATGCGCATGCCGTATTACGGATAACTGGTATCGTTACGTTACGATTGTGGTTGCGACGTTATTGCCGATTATATACGCGTTACCCACCACTGTGCGCACTGCGGCATGTTAATTGCTCGAGGTGAATTAAAGGCTCGATAATAATCGGACGGTGCTTCGCGAATATCGGTGGCGTGGCAATAAATCGGATCGCAGCACCTCTTTTCTTTCGATCGTCGTTCGATCGAGGGGAGCGTCCCGTTTGACCACGTTGTTGCGATGACCACAGCCGATCCCAGCGCAACCGGTGCCTAGAGATTCTCCTGCACCGGCTAAGCGCTGTGAGTGGCTGTGATCAATTGCAACGTAGTCAAACGGATCTCACCCCTTTTCGAGTGCTTTGAGCCCCGAAGAAGTCCTCGCACGCGTCGAATCTCACACGTGTCTTGTTATGCGAGAATAAGAGAGAGAAGAATAAGAGATGAGCGCTCCCTTTCATCGCCATTGTACATACATATGATATATTAATGTATATTATATTGTCATATATAGGACACGCGAGAGCGGGCAAGAGATACGGATAGGTTAATTGTTATTAACGAAATTAAGCGCGACAAAGTGAGAGAGGCGTCTCGTTGCGTTTTCAAATGCCTGCGGGACAGGATAGTTAAACGACGAATATTGTCGACAGTTTTACTTTCCTTCGAGCAACTATCCATCGCTCCCTTTACTTAACTACTCCGGGCTGTAAACTCCTGTTTCCTAAGAGACGACTCTTTAACCACTCCGTTTCTACTTATTTCATTTTAAGTTCCGTGCACCGCAAACAGCGAAACCTTTATCGTTAAATCTGTCTCTCGTTCAGGAAATCGGACTGACGAGACACCGCGAGACAGCGGCGCGTTCATCATTCAGGTCACGGTCGCCCCGCCGTGTTCAATAATAAAATATACAGCACAAAAATGTGTCGATTGCTATACGCGACGATCCACACGCGACGAGGCAGCTCCAACTCTTGAGCGGTATCCCTCCGATTATCGAGGAGAGAAACGTTCCGTACCCAGAGACCTGTACCCACGTTAAATGTATACGCGAGAAAAACATCGCGGATGGCGATGTGATGTTGCGCATTTAAAACTCTTCTTATAGCGTTTATTACTTAGTAGATAAGACTAGAGCGACGTAGAAAAAAAAGCGCGCGTGTGTGTGCGTCTCCACCGTGAATGTAAATTTTTATAAAGTTTCAAAACGTTAACACGGCAGGTTGTTGTAGCCCCTCGCAGCAGTAAGGTAAAATCCCCGATTTGAACGAGCGATACGACTTAACAGTTAGACCGCTGCCTCGAGTCTCGGAAGAGAGACAGATATCTTTGTGACCGAGAACGTACAGACCGGTATGCGACTGTCGAATGTAAAAGAAGAAGAAAAAAAGCTGGGTCCGTGATCGCCGGGACGACACGACGATCGAGGACGAGAGAGAGGGTGCGCGCGTGCGTTCGCCGAGGCAGTTTGTCAAAATTGTCAGACGCGTCCGCGACTGATGACGAACGATATCCCGCATCCCACCCGATCGCATGATCGTCACTCTCTCTCTCTATCTTTGTCTCTCTCTCGCGCTTTACTTTCGATCGGTGAAGTCCTCGCGAGACGCGGGCGCAGCAGCGAAATAATAAGCGGGACACACGACCGCTGGTTTGTCGATTATTATCGCAAATATAACGCATTATTCCGTACCAAGTACGGCTAGAGCTATCTCAAATAATTTATTATAGGATTAGAAGGATAAAAAAAAAAAGAACAAAAAAAGAAAAGAGTCAACTGTAACGCGAGTAACGGAGCACGAACGAAGAAAGGCCTGCATCGACGACCATGTGACACCCTTCACACTTGCCGACCCACACCCTCCCCCTCCCTCCCGACCCATCCCGACTCGATCTTATATTTCCTCCCTTTCCTCCCGAGAGCACACACCCCCTCCCCTATACCCTCAAGAACAAAACAAAACAACATATTGTAATCTATTGTAGATTGTTGTAGATAAATTATACGGTTTGACCGTACATTGTTACTTTTTGTCGACAATATAAAATACACAGATATATAAGTAATTATCCTCGTTACGTCTTCTCGTTATTTCATTATACCCGCCCGTATGTTAGCAAGATGAGATATGTGATGTTATTTATGTTTTTTTAAATTATTTATTTTGTACAAAACAAAAATTACTTCGTAATATGATACATCGTAATGGACATGCAAAATATCTTTTAATGTGTGAAAATTGCTGATAATTAAAAAGATAAAATATATACAGAGTATACTTGATTTATCTTTATTTTGTACAAGGTAATAGTTAAATAATCTAAAAGATTTTAAGAGATAATTCTTTACATTAATTTAAAAAAAAAACTTTATATGACCATATGTTCAAAACGGCTTAGTTTTGAAGATACACAGTGTCAAAATTAAAGGAAAAATATTGTCTTTTTCAAAAATTTCGAAAACCATTTGGATTATATTAATGAAACTTTATATACGTTTAAAAGATAAGGAGGCTCATCTTTTGAGACCAAACATTATTTTTTTATTCACTCAGGGACGGACTTAAGAATAAGCATCAAATAAACACAGATTATAACTGCAAGGTTGCAACATTATAACATTCCAGTTATATTGCATAAATGTTACAATGTTACTGTATATTGCAGTCATAATCCGTGCTGTTGCTGAGCGGATATCCTAATAAACAGTATTTTTCGTTATTTAATACAATTGATAGCTCTCTTCTTTTAAATATCTATTTAATTTACGTTCTTGTCTTTCAAACGTTCACAAAGTTTCATCAAAATAACTCGAACAGTTTTTGAACGTTTTAAAAAATTGATGCAACTGATTTGGAGTTAGCAAACATACATACAAAAAATACTTATAGGTCGAATTGAGAACTTTCTCCTTTTTTGAAGTCGATTAAAAATGAAATTTTTCCCTTCAACTTTGACACTCTGTATCTTTGAGTAGTACTCTAAAAGATTTTAAGGTGATACACCTCACACTAGTTCAAAATGAAAAATTTTATGTGATCATATGTTTGAACTAAGTCGTACAAGCAACTCCCAAAATTATATTCCGTTATAAACAAGGAAAATTTAATATTTAGTGTTGAAGCCTGACTTATATGCAGTATTCTCTTCAAATATATTTATTAAGATATTATCAAATATATTTTTTAAGGCATATTTACGTAACACATCGCTTATTTTTTATGTATTAAAAGTATTAAAACGTAATTTAATCTCTTCCAATAAATCTACCAGTAAAATATAGCATTCTTTAATTTGAAAATGTAATCAAACTAGCTTGTTCATCGAAAACAGAGTTGATCTGCCAACGAAGAAAACATTATACAAACAAGGCTCAATTGATGCGAATTGCTTTTCAACCTTAAAATCTTTTAGAGTACTACTATCATCCTGTATCCAGAAACCATTTTGAATTAATGAGTAACACTAGGCGTACTGGGTGAGCCTACCACGTCAATAATTTCCGCTTTGACTTCCGGTTCTGTTTTTGGTAGAAGCGCCGGTGGTATCGTTAAAGTCTGAAATAAAAGGTATGTGATAAACGTAACAAATTCAAAATTACTATTACTTGAAATTATATCCAATTGATATTCGAAGAGATTCATATTGATAATCACCTTTCCTGGTGCTAGCGCTTCATATTGATGCCTTAAAGACTGTAACTCATAATCACATGTCGATAAAGCACTTCTCAATTCGTAATGTAAAACTATGTCGCTACGCAGTTCGTTAAATTGTTGACATATTTGCTCCGTTGGTGGTGGATTTAATTCTACAATGTAAATCAACAGTTTCCATTTTAATCCTCGATTTTGAAACTTTACAAGGGCAATATAAAAAATTGGAATTATAACCTCTTACCTAAACGCAATTCATTCAGCATTTGTTCAATGCCCTTCATTTTCTTCTGACCGAGACTACTTGGTAATTTGATTCTCTGAGAACGAAGAGTAACACCACTGTTCTTAAAATCGGGAAATTTAATTCCAGCTGATTCTACTGCCTGTAAATTTAAAAAAAAAAACATCATAAATGCCTTGATATAAATGTATCATTGTGCATAGAAAATAATTATACAACGTACATGAGAAGTGTCGGTTTTACTCGGTCTATTCCTAGAAGAGCTGCTGCTCTTTTTGGAAGATTTTCTCTCGCTCTTCCTGGGATCTGCTTGATGATCGGCCGCTGTAATCAATTTCTGCAGATCTTGCGTCTTTCTGTCTCTCTCCTTCTTCCTTTGCTCGATCTTACGCAATTCAGCCAGCAGAGTCTGTTCTTCCTCCACTTGTTCAGGCGTACGTTCGAACAGCTTTTTCAGCTGTTCCTTTCTGCGCTTCTCGTGTTCAGCATCAAAGGTATATACCTTGTCAGTGTGGGATTTTGCCTTTATCAATGCAGCACATACCTGATAGTACCTGGAGTGTGGATTTATTTTAAATGGCAAACGCATTCCAAAAAGCATATTCAAATCAAATAAATACACGTATACGTATCAACCTTACCTCTCTTTTAGGTCTTCTACAGATCTAGCGGGGAACTTGGTGCGATCCCATCTGTCTCTGATGATAATAAACCTAAGGTCAAACCTTCTGCACAAATCGAACAGATGGTCGGTCTCCGAGCGTGTCCAGCCGTTGGTCACCAAATGCTGTATGTACTCGGCATTCGTATATGTAGGGATAGGAACTTTCTTGTTGAATTTTGCGAAGGGATACTCCTTCCCGGCGTCGGCGACACGCCGCCAGTGTTTAAATTTCGCGTTGTCCGTGCGCGCCGGATTAGTAAACTCTACCCATCTCCATGGTCTGACTTTCTTCATACCGAGCTTGGCACGCACTTGCTTGTATCCCTTTGCGGTGTCGGTTGGAAACAACGGCGGCACATCGTTGTTGTCCTTGCAGAGGAGGGCGAACACCTCGCGGTGCATGCCCTCCGGACGTTTTGGCATTTTGTTGTAGTCATACCGTTTACGACTCTTTTTGTCGCTGCCCAATATCGACTCTTTCGTAAGTTCCGTAGTCGTCGGCACTTCAATATCCAGAATATCGCGCACGTCTGCCATCGTGACGACTACTAGTATTTTCTCCTGAAGATATTCTTTTTTTTTTTTTTTTTTACTTTTTGTTCCGCATCCGCCGGTCAGGTGGAATTTTGCGCCTGTAACCTCTTCTTTAGATTATACAGCGTCTGAATATTCCTATCATGTGAAGACACTTTACGTTTTTCGAGGTTAGCTTTCCTATCGTACAGGTTAACTTGCTTGCTTTAACGTCGTGTAACCAACTTTAATAAACAACCACATCACTTCTCGACTGCTTTGAGCGAGGAAATTTAAAAGGAAAGGATAAAATTACTGCAAAAGCTGCTGCAAATTACATTCGTCTGTAAAAATAATCTCTTGCATACAGATACACTTGTATCTACCTGCGACGACTGCGATTGCTGAGGGCTGCGAGATATATCGACTATCGAGTAAAGAACATATATCGATATATCACGTATCTATTATCTCAAAATGCCTGCACTAACGCCCCCTGAGGAAGTGGATGTAAACTACATAGCAACATTCACTTTTCGCGGGTATACAATTTGTGGTGCGTGTCCATGCTACATTCACCTTTCGAGACTGCTGGGGCTTTATTTTCAAAAAATTGCGCATTCGAAAATCATATCCTCTCTCAGATTACGGATACTATAATGCGTACTCGATACTATAAATTTTTGAAATATTATATTCATTTACAGAGTATAAATAAACAACACTAATATAGAATTTAAATTTCAATAAAACTCCACTGTTTATAAACTTATATAGTATTTATTTATACTCCAAATATAAAAGACTGTTTTAATATTTATGAAAAATATTGAGTAAATAAAGAAATGAAAAAATATCATTTTCATAAATTTATGTATCAAGATATACATTTTGACAAGAAAATTGTATGATGTAAGTATATTGATAGGGTCGAAACATTTACGTTTTATCTTGTTAGAAGATACAAATATCATCAGAATTCGAATTGTTTTTAAAGACGGCTTGTAGGAACACGTCGCTCTCATTGTAATCCAAATTTATACACATGTATATAAAATAGATTGCTGCACACATTTACTATTTCAAGATTAAAATAAGAAATAATTTATTCACTTACAGGTGATGCGCAGCAGCGGAATTTGAACGTTAATCTGTAACACACAAATAAATCCAAATTAAAACAGCGTCCGAAATAATTAATATTTAAAAAATGAATCGTTGAACGCATCAAATATTTTATTTATTTTTAAAACAAATATTTAGATAAAAAATTCTAATGCGGAAAATATTCACGCAATTACTGACAATGTAATCGCATATTTTAATTACTTGTCTGCGTTATATATTTATAAAAAAAATAATTGCACGATGAATCCTACAATCGCACGAAGTTCACTTGACGGATCTGTCATCGTATTATTCAATCGACATATTTTCTATACATTCATTATGCAGACAAATTAATTGAAACACGTAACGTAATTAGCAGTAATTGCAATTATTCTCTGTATCGTTCCTTAATTACATATCTGTTTATAAGAATTATCCAAAGGAATTTTATCAATAGAAAATCTATATGCCTCAGTATTAGCGAATCAGTTGTGTCGAGAGATTTTAAGGTGGTTAAATCCATTGTAGAACAACAATGACGAAATAATAATTATTCACCCGTGGTTGTTCCGCCGTTGCCCGATGCCTCCCAGGCCTCCTCCTCCGCTCTTGCAGTCACTCCTCTCCGTTGCCGATCCTCCGTTGGCGCTCATGGCCCTGCATCTGCATCACACACTCACACAACACTTACGCAAACACTCGTACGATACTCGCGGAAACTGCGATCGCGCGGCATCACACGAAGTACGAACGACATTAGCCGCGACATTAGACGCGTTCCGACACACACTGCCAGCACCGAAAATCTATAGTTCACGTTATGTATACTACAGGTTTTCAGTATCGACAATGATATCGGAACACGGCCTTTATCGCGCAGCGAGGAAAGAACGAATTAGGTACGAATTAAACAAATTACAGCAACAGATCGCGCTTGATCGCGCAGAGCCACGACTCGCTCGGCCAGCGTCGAACTCACAATGATGGAAACGACACACGTACGATACGACCGAGTCAAGTTAACGATTAATCGAAAGATCGATCTGCATACGCAATCGATCGTTCACTTAATTCGGCACTGTCCCCACGATGTATTTTGAAAGCTTAAATTACAATACCTTACGCTATCAACAAACAATCGATATACATACATATATATATATATATATACATACGGCTTCCCGTGTATCTCGATCCGACGACTCGCGTATTACTTCGCAACTTCAGAAATCGGAAATGACGGTCGCGGCGTTTTACATTCGAATCGGCGGGAAACGAATTTAATCTGATACATTGACTACCACTGGCCGTCGTTTATATATAAATGACACAATTTCATGAAAAATTTTTAAGAGGTTTAAACAAGAAATTTTTACTTAATTTTAACTTAATTTTTTTAGTTAAGTGTCTGTTAAATATTAATAAATCAATTAATCCAAATACTCATTTAACAGTGTTCATTTCCAACCGCGATCTCTGGTATATCGCTTGTTAATTAGAAATTAATTAGAGGCACCGTGATTATAACGACGTGCTTTCGTCGTGGTCTTTCCTTAAGGATATCGGGACATATACATATTCAAGATTTCTTTTTTTCTATTCTTCATTCTTTTTTTCTAAATATCGGTGCATCATGACTGACGGTTACTTGAGAAACGGTAATTATTCTCACAATGAACGTATATTTTTTAGGAGACAAACGTGTTGTCGTTTCGAATGTGCCTCGATACCTCTACAAATTTAAACGGCTATGCATTTCTGTTCTCGTGTGCATATGTACATGAAATTATTATTTCTGACTATTCTTCTAATCCAATAAAAATTTTCGAAACTAATACATCAAAGTATCAAACACACGTAATGAGATAAGAGGTGAAACGAATCAAAACTGAAGGGGATTTCAATTTCAAAAATTTTATTTATTGCAAATTTCTTTTGCTATTTATAAGTAAGATGAGCAAATCTGCGGTTATCAATTATCATGTCATCAAAAACATATGTAGACGAATTTATAATGCTTGAATTTTTAGATATAATACACATGCCATAAGTACGACCGTAATTGCAATATCTTAATATTGCAATATCTTAATATTAAATAATATTAAATTAAGCACATGCTTATAACAATTGTATATATACATACAATAAAAACTTGTATTATTAAATGTCATTATCTATTATTAAATCATTTTCACTTACGCCATAATTATCTTATTGTACGATGTATTTCATACATTCACGCTATAAATATTAACTCATAAAAATACATAAAATACATAATATAAATTTTTATTGAGGTCGCATGATATCAATACTTTGAGGAGCCGTAATATCAAGTAAATTGATAGTATCAGGCGACCGATAATTTGTGGAATGTGACGGAACAGATAATCCCTGATTATCCGCCTTCTCCAAGTTGAAAAATTTACACTTTACAATATACCAGAAGCTCTGTACAATGTTTTTAATTAATCCTGCAAATTAAGATAATTTAATAACCCTTTTTATATTAAATTTAGTTCGCAAAAAACTCGCAACTTATTTGCAAATTTACCTACCGCTTGTAACAAATATACCACCTACAGTGGCACATAGTTTCACTAAAAACTGAAAAATTGTATCACGTTCCTGAGTTACTTTGATCTTGAGCGCACTCATATCGTATTTGAAAAAAATTCCGGGTATTCCATGAGATCCCTTATGATGATCGATTGGTCTCTGATGATCTTTGACGCTATATTGGTACGTTTTAGATGTACTTAGTAATGTTCTAATATCTGTAGGAACAACCTCAACGAAATACTGATAAAGCATCATATCTGAAAGAAAAATCATCATGTGGAACGTCATATGCTAACTTGTTTCTGAAATCTTGGGAACAAGAAGGCAAACTTACTGTTATCTGCAATCTTCTCATCCCCTTCAAGGGGATGCACAATACCCGGACTAGGTCCACCAAATGAAAATCTATTGATTCTGTGCGTGAAGTTATAATCCCGATCTGTCATAAACGCAGATATGTGTATATGACCGTGTGGCACAGATAACGATTTTCCCGCAGTTATATGGAAGTTACCCGCTACTTTATTAACGTTTAGACTACCGTAAACACGGCAGGCATTTGGTGCGTAATCTGGTTCAGACGACCTAAATGGCATAAAAAGGTTATGTATACACAAGCGTCAAGCAATGATACATCTGCGATTTTCAACAAATATCACAGATTTACAAATTGTTAGGTTAGTTCACACATACCGCTTTGGCATCTCACTGTAAAGAGTAACTTGATTGGACTTCCAGAGCAGTTCATGAATAGCGTGATACTCTTCTCTTAAATAGGAATTCATATGCTTTAAAGCTTCGAAATGTGCCCTTTGTTCTGCCGTTAATTCCCACCACGTATCCTCTTCCTTCAAAGAATCAAAATCTATCATATGCTGATTCGTAGAGTCTAAAACATCAGCACCGATGCGACCACATGGCATTGCCACTGTTACATCAATATTGATTTGCAGTTTTGCATCAATTTCGGTATCCGGCTCAAATTTGAATTGTAATCTGCTGTCGAGATAATAGCTCGTCTCAGCTATTATCAAATACGCAATGATAAGAAATGTAAAAATAGAAACTGAAACACAGAGAACCAGATTATTAATCGGAGTGAGTAAAAATAAAAGCATAGCTAAGTACAATACATATACAGTAATATATATAATAAAAATATATATATATGTATATATATATATATATATATATTATCTTTAACATAAATATTTTACTAATATCTATCAACTCACAAGTTCCCCCAACTGCAGTTTTGTCAACATATAACTCAGGAACTTTCGGGAATGCATCCAGTTCCTTAACTGTCTTAACATTAACGTGTCGTCGCCTCAACATTTTTACAACTTATTTGCGTATATTCACAAATTATTTCATGATATTACAACTAACCTATAAAAAGTGGTATTTGCTTAGAAAAAATCTAGAGACAAGTAACAGTTCGAGATTTACCTCTAGCACTGCGTTTATCACCATATTCACTACATATCTAAATCTCAGTTAAATAAAAAAGCGCAGTACTTTGTGCATTTTTTGACACGTGGGTATCATGTACATTTTGACACGTCTCCTCTACACAAGAAATATGAAACATACGAAACAGACGAGACGAGCCAATGCCAAAGCTATAAAAATATTACAGCCGCGATTTTGCATATAGAAAGATGGCGCCACAATATACTTACATCACTTCATAAAATTATGTATTATAGCTACGCATATTTAAAAATATTTAACATTTTATATATTTTACACAAGTATTTCGATAAACATTATGACCTGTGCGTTCGAACATTTCGATCTAAAGTTCTATCTAAACTATTTAAATAAGCCTAAATATTAAATCTTCTAAAGAATAAAGTGGCTAGATGAAAATGTACATATTACCTATTCCTACAACTTTTAGTTCTCTTAAAAGTTCATATTTATTATAAATCAATGTATGATGCAAAAAAATTTAGTACAGTATAAAGATAGAATTGCGAAATGATCTTTCGTATAAAAGAAAATTAATCTTAATGGAAAAGCTTGTGACTGTTAATAATTTAAGAATTTCATTGTCTCATATAATACAAATAAGGATTTTGTAATTTCAGAAATAAAGACATTAGATATTTTAAAAATATTCGAACTATGAAAATGTGCCAAACGTATGAATAAATTTGTGGCCCTGATAAGGGCCGTTGGTCTTGAGAGGAATGATTCACTTGGAGCTGGTGTACTTGGTGACGGCCTTGGTGCCTTCACTCACGGCGTGCTTTGCCAGTTCTCCGGGCAGCAAAAGCCTGACAGCAGTTTGGATCTCCCGAGAGGTGATGGTTGAGCGTTTGTTGTAGTGAGCCAAACGGGATGCCTCGGCGGCGATACGCTCGAAGACATCGTTGACAAAGCTATTCATTATGCTCATAGCTTTGCTGGAGATTCCGGTGTCCGGATGGACCTGCTTCAGTACTTTATAGATGTAGATAGCGTAGCTCTCCTTCCTCTTCCTTTTCTTCTTCTTGTCGGTCTTGCTGATGTTCTTCTGGGCCTTTCCAGCCTTCTTCACCGCTTTGCCGCTCGCCTTCGGTGGCATGATGCTTCGGAGTCTTCGTAAAGTGCCGCGTGAGCAATCGCTGAGACGGAACTTCGAAAAGTGACCGGCCTCGCTTAGCGCAGTCTATATATACAGTTCAGCGACAGCGACGGCGCTCCAATCGCGTGACGCGACGCAGCCAATCGTGGCGCTCTCGGCGTCCCATTGGATGCGTGCAGCTGCGGCAATATGGTATAAATAGTCGGCGAAAGGCTTCCGGAGCCACACTCCGACTTCGGACGTTTTACCCATCGTTTCTGTGTACTCATCGTTCGCTGACCGCAAACATGTCTGGCCGTGGCAAAGGTGGCAAGGCTAAGGGAAAGGCGAAGTCGCGCTCTAATCGCGCCGGACTGCAATTCCCCGTTGGACGTATCCATAGACTTTTGCGAAAGGGAAATTATGCCGAGCGCGTCGGCGCTGGCGCCCCGGTCTATCTTGCCGCGGTGATGGAATACCTCGCTGCTGAGGTATTGGAGTTGGCAGGAAACGCCGCTCGCGACAACAAGAAGACCAGGATCATTCCCAGGCACTTACAGCTTGCCATACGCAATGACGAGGAATTGAACAAACTGCTCTCTGGCGTTACCATTGCTCAGGGTGGTGTACTGCCGAACATTCAAGCAGTCTTGCTGCCAAAGAAGACCGAGAAAAAAGCTTAACTGCAGAACAGCAATTACAAACGGCCCTTTTTAGGGCCACTAATTTTTTCATACGAGGAATATTTCTTTTGCAATTTTATTTTTACTACCTACATATATATATAATTAACCTCTATTTGATTTTTATATATCTAACAGCGTAAACAATTTATTAAAAATGTTCTTTATCGTTCAATTTAATCTTACTACTATAATAAAACAAATTATACGAAAGTATATATTTCAAAATACGTAGTATATTTGTCTGAATCTCGAGGAATTGCACGCGTTATATAGAATACATTATTGCAAACTATATCTAGAATTTTAAGATTGTAATGTGCAATTAGTTTTTTTTTTTTAACATTTAAGTTAATACGAGAATGCATCATTGTAAAAAATACGTTTAAACTTTAAAAAATACATTACGATAAATCTTTAAATTATGAAGAGAGTATCTTTTGAGACACGCGTTTAAAAAAAACGTGAGAGAAGTAACGTTAAATAAAATATTTGTGTGAAACTTATACGAATATATATATATTTATTATTCTGCATTTTGAAAGTACAATGTTCTTACTTGAACTTTAAATCTTAAAATATCTTTTCGAATATATCTTGCTTTCCGAAACTTATCTAACGTATTTAACATATTTTGTAACTGTAAGAGGAAAGACTATCACTCGCGATAAAACGATTTATTTAAAAAGAATCAATTAAAAGATTAAATAAATTCTGAAATTATTTCAAACTACTTAATGTCTTAGTTTATTAATGATTGCCAAATATTTTCGAAAAAATTCCTTTCAATCTTTTGAACTGTATCTTTATTTCTAAAATTTTACCTACATGGTCAATAATTTTATATAAAATTACATCTAATCTTCAAATAAATTTTAAGATTAAATTATAGGAAAGGAAGTGTAAAGACTTTTATTGATATTAATATATATTATATAATTATTATGTATGACAACTTCAGATATAATTGTTTATTTTAAAATTGACATTTCGTACACATAATTGATTTGATAATCATGATGCGAATTAATCACAATAAAGGAAAACAATCAAATATCAACTTATACAGACAGAGATCGCTTGGAGTAGTGGTTAAAGTCTACGGCGTATGGCGGTTGACCACCTTCGCTGACCCAAACCGATCCGTTTTCACCCTTCTGGATGAGATCTAACATTGCAGGTGCCACATTATCCGTTGTCTGTGTTGGATAATCTGCCATCTCGTTGACCTCACTGCCTATCACTGCACGGACAGAGTCACAAAGCTTCTCGCTTATGTTTGCGACCAACGCTGTGAATGTAACGCCCGGGCACATGATAATAACTCGCACTCCGGTCTTGTCGTACATACTTGCCAGAGACTTGCTGAATCCCAGGACGGCATATTTCGAAGCGGAATATATTGGCAGAAAATAAGCTTCGTGCAATCCAACTACGGATGCAATATTCACGATTACACCGCCCTTGCCGCCCTTATGCTTTCCCATATAGTCGAATGCCAACATAGAGGCACGAATTAGCGCCTTGACGTTCAGATCGATCGTCTCGTCCAAATACTTGTCGTTCAACATACCGGCGTTGTTGATAAGAATATCAAGCCCTTCGAATGAATCGACGACTTTCTTGAACGTTTTCTCCAAATCGTCAATCTTCGTCACGTCACAGGCGATGAAGACGGCATGGCCCTTTCCAAATTCGTTCTCCAACGTAGACACCGCATTCTGGCCGTCCGATGTTGGTAGGTCGACCACGGCAACTCTCTTTGCACCATTGCGAAGCAGTATTTCGGCGTACTTGTAGCCTAATCCGCGAGCTGCTCCAGTGATCATAACAGTTTTATTCTGTACGTCGTACAACATTATGCTGATTTCTTGAAACTGTTAATAAGACAGCGCAATGATTTATACTGTCTATAAATAGAATACATCCACTTTAATATTCCTTCTTATCACGCCTGCTCTTGACGACGATTCGTCAGCAAACTTGCTGGTGGGAAATATCGAAGTCTCTGAGTGTTTACTTAAAACATTTTTATATTATCTGACGGAAAAATTTGAAAAAAAGTACAGTTTTAATTACAGTTTTTAAATTCAAATATACGTATGTATAATGTTATAAATAAAAATATTAAATATTCCATATTACAGATTATTATTATTTCATACTACAATTTATTAAAAATATCTTTATTACATCTTTACTTTTTCTTATTTTATTAAAATAAAGAAAATATTTCGTGCATAATTCTACGCCGCTCAGAAATGACTATTAGGTATGGTACTGAAAGGTATGGTAAAAAGGACTTAATTAAATATTTAGAATGATTGATCAACAAAAGAGAGAATGAATTTGGAAAAATTTTGTGTGATTACATATACTAGGAATGTCATAAAGTCCAGCTGTTCAATTTGTCAAACATTTGTCGAATAAATTTCTGGCTTAATCTAGAAGCAAACAGGATACCGATTATGACACCTACGATCATGTCTCTGCAATATCATTCGTAACATACGTACATTAAAAAATAAAGATAAGATATAATAATTTAAAAAAAGAGAAAAATTACAATGGATATCAACGTCTATATATTGAAACACCAAATAAGAATATGAATTTTAGTTCTCGTAAAATTTCTCGAAATTTCTGACAACATTATAATCATCACAATGATCATGATCCTAATTATAAGTTGAACGATTTTTGCGTCAGAATATTTTATGATTTGCTATTTGATACATTTTTACTCCGCTATTTTTTTTTATCTTTGTAACATTTATATAATACTTTTATGAAAAATATTTAAATACATGAATTCAAATATATTTACATAAAAATGTACGTAAAATATAATATATATGAAAATTATATATTATATTTATATTTTAATAATAATTTAATACTAATTTAATATTTATATACTTATATTTTAATTTATTATAACACATTAATATAATATTAATGTGTTAATTATGTTTTAATCCTTAATACACATGAAAAATATTTTCCGATCCCTTTCTATACATGAATCGTTCGAATATGAGTTAATTTTTCTTTGACAAATATAAATGTTATATATCAATGTTGTAACATTATAACTATAATCAGCACGAATAAGAGAAATACACTTTTTCATAAAAAATTAAAACTCTAAATAAAAATGATTTAAAGAAAAGTATGTTCCTTATCTTAAAGTTGACATTCCAAAATACAAAAAAAAAACAAAGTTCAAATGTTGGCTGTCTAAAAAATTGAATTAATCAGTATAACCTGATAATGATGTTTTTTAATATGCACGAATGGATATATAAATTGATATCAAATCTATTTTATTTATTTTAATACATTAAATTTTAAGATAGGAAGTATAAGGACTTTTATATTAACCATATTAATGTAACACCATAATATTAATTATCATAAATATCAATTCAGTTATAATATCATTATTTCTTTAAAATTGACATAATTTCGAACACAATTGATTTAACCGTCATAGTAAATTAATCAAAACAAAGAAAGACAATCAAATAATAACTGATATAGGCAGAGATTGCTTAGGTATAAAGAGGAAAATCCGCAGCGTATGGCGGTTGATTATCTTTGCTGACTCAAACCGCTCCGTTTTTACCCTTCTGTATGAGATCTATCATCACAAGTACTACATTGTCGGTTGTCTGTAGCACATAATTCTCCAAATCGTCGTCTTGCAAAGCGCGAATAGAGTCGTAAGTCTTATCATTGACATTTGTGACCAACGATGTTACCGCCCGGGCATGATAACAATTCGCACCCCGGTCTTGTCGTACATACCAGCCAGAGACCGGCTGAATCCTATAACGGCATATGTTTCGAAGCGGTATACATTGGCAGATAATAAATTGGGTCCAATCCAGCCACGGATGCAACGTTCATGATTACACCGCCTTTGCCGCCTTTATGCTTTCCCAAGTAGTCGAATGCCAGCATAGAGCCGCGAATTAATGCCTTGACATTGAGATCGATCATTTCCTCCCAATGTACGTCGTTTAACATATCAGTTGTTGATAAGAATATCAAGACCTTCGAATGTATCGACGACTTTCTTGAAAGCTTTCACCAAATCGTCAGCCTTCGTCACGTCGCAGGCAATGAAGATTGCACGACCCTTTCCAAATTCATTCTCCAAAGTAGTAGCTGCATCCTGGCCATTCGATGTTGGCAGGTCGACCACGGCAACACTTCTTGCATCATTGCGAAGCAATACTTCGGCGTACTTGTAGCCTATTCCGCCAGCTGCTCCAGTAATCATTACAGTTTTATTCTGTACGTCATACATTATGCTGATTTCTGGAAGCTTTCAATCAGCTTTCAATCATAATCGATTCTTATATTATCGTCTTTAAAGCGCGCTCTATCCTTGTTTTATGTTTAATGAATGATAAAGATAGAATGACGCGAACGCGCCTTATTACATAAATATAATCTCAAGATGTCATAAACCAATCACAACAAGAGCGATATTAATTGGCAGTTGAAACCGACTTAAAATAAAAACGGGCAATAAATACTACTCTCATTTCAAGATCATTTTAAGTAAGTGCGTAGTGATCATATTAAGATGCTATTATAACTCTGCGATTAATTTACGTTAAGACTATATTAATATTCGTATCGTCTGTAATTAGTTATAATAGTTATATACAATTTTTTTAAATACATAACTTTATAAATATTTTTTAAAGATGTAAAGTGATGTAAGAATCACTTAATAATTTTTGTATGCTTGTAAAATTAGCTCATTGTAAAATTAACGCAAATGAACAACCCATCATGTGTAGAAAAGAACCAGAAAATCAGTGTATACTAAAAGCTAGTCAGGTTAATCATATTTCATTTCTGTTTATCACAGATATGATCAATTTAATGATACCACTGTTTATTTTTAAATTGACATTCCATACACATATATAATTGATTTGGTGTTCGCCATGTAAATTAATTAACATAAAGTAATAGAATTATATGAGAAGTGCAATATCAACTTATACAGGCAGAGATCGCTTGCAATAATGGGGAAAATCCACGGCGTATGGCGGTTGATCACCTTCGCTGACCCAAGCCGCTCCGTTTTTACCCTTCTGAATAAGATCTAACATCGCAAGTGCTACGTTATCCGTTGTCTGCTTCGGATGTGTCTCCAAATCATCGTCAGGCTCACCTTTCAAAGCGCGGATGGATTTACAAAATTTTTGGTTGATATTTGCGACCAAAGTTGTTGCTGTAACACCCGGGCACATGACTACAACTCGCACTCCACTCTTGTCGTAAACATTTGCCAAAGACTGGCTGAATCCTAGAACGGCATATTTCGAAGCGGTATATACTGGCAGAAATTTAGCTGGGACCAATCCAGCCACGGAAGAAATATTCACGATTACACCGCCCTTGCCGCCTTTATGCTTTCCCATGTAGTCGAATGCCAACATAGAGCCGCGAATTAGTGCCTTCACATTGAGATCGATCGTTTCTTCCCAATAGTTATCGTTCAATATCCCAGCATTGTTGATAAGAATATCAAGTCCCTCGAATGCGTCAACAATCTTCCTGAATGCCTTCTCGAAATCGTCAGCTTTTGTCACGTCGCAGACGATGAAGATGACACGGTTCTTCCCAAATTCGTTTTGCAAAGTAGCCACCGCATTCTGACCGTTCGACGTTGGCAGATCGACCACGGCAATACTTCTTGCACCATTGCGAAGCAGTATTTCGGCGTATTTGTAACCTATTCCGCCAGCTGCTCCAGTGATCATTACAGTTTTATTCTGTACGTCATACATTATGCTGATTTCTGGAAGCCTTCAATCAGACGTAAGATACTTTAATAAGATTCAGCGAGATATGAGGTTCTTTAGCGAATCGCAATTCTACACTGTCAGTAAATAAAGCCCATCCAATTTAATATTTCCTCTTATCGCCCCTATTTTCGTCAACAATTTGTTAGCAAACTTGGTAGGAAAAAATAAGCCTCTTTTATTTACAAAACTCACACTTGTATTTCGTTATCTTGTTAAAGATAAAGTTAACCAAGTACAGGTATAATTCTACTGTAAACATTTAAATATATTGTATATTTAAGTTATAATTAAAAATATCAAGTATATACTGTACTAAAAATATTTCGTTGATAATATCTTTATTAAATGTTTGTTTATCATATCTTTATTAATTTTTTCTTATTTTATTAAAATAAAAAAAATTCCAAAGCGTATAATCTTGTGCTGCTGAAAAATTACTAGGTATTATACTGAAAAATGCAGTGATGAGTGACTTAATCGAATATTCAGAATTGATCGATCAAAACAATTTAAAGAAGAGGAAAAATTGAAAAGTTTTGTATAATTACATTAAATAAGAATATTATAAAATCAAGCTATTTAATTTATTAAACTTGCTGATAAACGAATTTCCGGCTTAATCTACAAAGAAATATGACGCCGATTACGACGCCTACGATCTTGCTTTTGCAACATCAGTCCCACAGTACACATGCAAAAAGAAAAATAAAGATAAGATAAAGATGTAATAAAAAAAAATATTCTAATAGATATAGACATCATCCACATATTAAAACGCCAAGAAAAAATACGAATTTTACACAGTTCATCATTTTTCCGACTTTAAATTCAATTTTCGATGTGTTCCCGACATGTGACGTAATTTTAACTAGCATCATTAAATTCCTCATCTCAAAAATGATAAGAAACGATGTCAATTTTACTTTCCGAAGTAAAAATCTTTTAATAACATTCTTCTTTCACGTTAAAATTACAATCATAATTATTAGCCCTTTTTACAAAAAGAATAATATTTTTGCATCAGAATATTTTATTATTTATTAATTGTTACATTTTTATCCCGCCACAAATATATTTGTAGTACTTTTACGTTACACTTTTACGTAAGATAATTCACGAGAACACTTAAGTACCTTTTTGGAATAACGAAATAATGTTAATAAATGAAATTAATTAAATTAATATTTATGTTTTAAAGAACTTTATTTACTTTACCAAATAAAAAATTTAACTTTCGATATTCCATATTATTACAAAAAAAATGATGAAGCTACATTTTACAAAAGTGACATGTTCTATGTATGTATTTATCAGATAGTATTTATCAGATGCTACCTTAGTGCCTTCTAGAGAAACTGCCGCAATTAAATAGTATGATGCAATAGAAACTTGTATATGTTTTGCTTATCTACAGTACACAATCGAGTTTAAGATATTAAAACAAGTGTGAAAACAGGAACTGAGAAAATTGATATCATAAAAACATAATAATATTGCAAACAGCAAATTAAGATAAAGAGCATTTCACGAATTTAAAATATTTAGATTTATATAAAACGTACAATCAAAATTTTAACTCATAAAATCATTTTAATAAAGCACGAAAAATTGCTTTGGATTTTACTGCCATCTTCTCCTTAAGTTTTATGCGAAAATGTCACTGCAATTTGTAACAATACGTATATGTACGCATATAACAATTTTACAAAATATAAACTGTATCGGCCACATGACTTCCATGATACACTCAAAACTGTATATTATTTATCCGGTTTTATAGTAATTAAACATCTAACTACAGACGTTATTATGCAAGAAATATTATAAAGATATATTTTACAACCTGGATTTTTTAATTTTTCCAATTCTTTTTTGAAGCTTGCACCGAAGTTTTTTTGACGTTGATAGTTCCGTAACTAGGTATTTATCGCACACGTTTGTGCAGAACAGCCAGTTCTTCCAACTACTTGTCTTCACCCAAGTCGTCTTATACTTTTATGCAGATACATTTAAATGCATATGCACATTAAAAATCTCTGTGGTTGATATTCACAATCCGTTCTTATGTCAAGACAATCTTCAGTAATGTTTTAAGAGGCTATTACAGCTCTTGTGGTTGGTTTAATGTCGTTTATGACATCTTAAAACTGTAATTAAGATAATCTTATATAAGAATCGATTATGAATAGCTGTCTCCTGTAAAAATCTTACAAACTTAAAGTTTACACTTGAAAGCAAAATAAACTTTTCGAATTTATATTTGAATGTAGTTTTCATTCAGCTTAAATTATATTATATTTCCTAAGTTATTTATATAAATGGGCGAATTAAATTGTGTAAAAATTGTAGAGTATTCTTATTTTTCAATTAAACCAGAATCCAATAATTGAAACTGATGTTATATAATGATTTGTCTTAAACATGTACATTAAAATGCTTATTTATAATCTAAAACATAGCATATATTAAAACAGGATACTATGTAATGCATGTTATTTTATAAATTCATTCAGTTTGATAAAACTATTATATATAAATAGAATATTGATGACATCAGAATTATATAGAGAAACATCAATTCAATACATATTAGTAAGATATACATACTATTGATGTTATAGACATATTCTCATAAACGTTTTAAAAATCTAACAATCGGTATATATTTTTAAGAAATAATACAGATATACAGAAAAATGAATGTTAAATTCAATTACATAGCTGAAAACAATATTCCTAACGTTAAGTTACAATTCTTTCACACTACAGATGCTACACTATTGTACTGCGGCGGTGTCGTTGATTGGCTATTGGCGTAGGGGAGGGGATAGGTCTGTCGGTGCGACTATATAAGAGCGGCCCGGCGGAAGTTCGAGCAGCATTCGAGTATAGCCTTCGTTCGTAGCGTGTTCTATCGTAATTCAAGATGACTGGTCGTGGCAAGGGAGGAAAGGGATTGGGAAAAGGAGGAGCGAAGCGCCATAGGAAGGTTTTGCGTGATAACATCCAAGGCATCACCAAGCCGGCTATTCGTCGATTGGCCAGACGTGGCGGTGTCAAGCGTATTTCTGGCTTGATATACGAGGAGACCAGAGGTGTCCTGAAAGTCTTTCTGGAAAACGTCATTCGCGATGCTGTAACCTACACCGAGCACGCCAAAAGGAAGACCGTAACAGCTATGGACGTGGTCTATGCTCTGAAACGCCAAGGAAGAACCCTATACGGCTTTGGTGGTTAAATGCGATTCATCACTTGTCAAGATCAAATCAACGGCCCTTTTCAGGGCCAACAATTTTTAACACGGTGGAATTTTCTCTGAAAAGCATACTTTCACAAAATACGTATTATAAAAGTAGATTTTGAAAATTAAACTTTTGTCAATAAAATAAATTTACTTAAGATATTTTACGAGTACACAATTCCTGACAAAATGTTACATATTTTTATGGAACGGTTTCAGATGTTTTAATTTGCATACATTTTCTTTAGTTATTTAACATCGAGTTAAAGATCACAGATGGCAACACGTTCCAATCTTTGGTCCGCAAAATATTGAAATGCGCGTGTACACAACTTCAAGTGACCAGTATTTGACGTACCTAAATTTCTACATTCACGTCGCATGTTTAACGTGACATTGATAGCTCATTCATTGTTACGTACTATGTCAGTACGTAACTTTCATTGCTACTAGTATAAAAATAAAAACAGAAGCGAGCGTTCGATTTTGAGTGCTGAAATACGCAAATATGTAAATAAAAAAAGCCTACTCTACAATAGTAGCCGTAATAATTGATCATTGTCGATTATTCTCTTCACATTCAACTACAGTTGGTTTATTTTTACGGCTTACGGCTATTGTAGGATAGGCTATGATGACCAGTGGCATAGGAAAAACCTAACCTAAACAGTAAACAAATCAACATTCTAAATTTGTCACTGCTTATATTATTGTTTTACGTTTTGTATTGTAATTGATTGATTTGCTTACTGCTTACGTTTTTATGATTAATTTACGATTTATCTTTTTTTTTGTGTTACTAGCTTAAAAATCAGAAGAAATTGCAATCAGTCGATTCTATTAAAATAAACGTACCAGTGACTGAACATTTACAGACGTATCTACAATATCTGAACACGTACACAAAATTTATTAATCTCAAATACTTTTTTATTACATCAAAGTTTAATTGGAAAAATATTTAAAGGTTGCAATTAAATTATAATATGAAAAAAAGCATTTAAAAATAAGTTGTGTGTATGTACGGGTTCAGATAGATATATTGTTTATTCACTGACACGTTTACCTCAATTATCTAATACGTAAAAGAGTCAGAGAATCTTCGAGAAGAACAAAGGCGAGGAAATGTGATTAAAAATGCTTTAACAAATTGTGAGACTTGAAGGCATATATAGGATCATATGGACGATATAATGCGAAATACGTATTGTGTATTAGTGGAGGATACTCATCAGAAAGATCATTTTTCAGAAATGGAACATTAATTAATGCACCAACGAGTTTGTTGTTTAAGGAATTTGATTTGAACATATATAATATATTCCCCAAAAATTTCAAAGATAATAACAGTAATTTTTCGAACAAAATAACGTAAGTGGAATAAGAGAGATCAGGAAACAATGCAGTTTTTTTTTTTAGTAAAATTAGTCGAAAGATATGTACATATGCTTAAGATTGTTTTATAAATTATAATATACGATAAGAAAAATATAATATATATAATAAAAATTATATGTATATTGCACTTATTACAGATTTATATACTGTATATTCATTTTATATTATAAATGTGTGTAAAATACAGTAAAATAAATGAATTGTAATTTTTTAAATGTGTACTTTTCAAGCAAAATAATTTTAAATATGAATGTAAATATATTTGATTTTTTTCGTATTTAATTAAGCTACATTTTACTAGGCACTTTTCTGTATAAGTGTTTTGCATAGAAATATAACAAAGATAATTCTTAATATTATGAATCTGTTTCTTAAACTGCAGTGGGTTTGAATAGCAAATCTACATTATTACTTATAATAGTAAATATATTAATCTAACACCATGCATATATATAATATGAATAAAGGAATACACATTTGTATTATATGATACTATTTTATGTACTTTATTACGAACGAGAATGTTGACACATAAATAGGTATGTACATCACATTATTTTTCTATATCGTAAATTTCGTCCATATATTCTATGCTCAATAAAAAAAATCTGTTAATAGATTTTCATTCATTTCTCGTTTTATATATCAATAATTTTTTTAAATTTGATTAAATAAAATCCAAAATCAATTTGTATGTATATATACATAGTTAAAAAATTCGAATAATTCCTTGCAAGCAAGCAAAATAACAAGAAAATTATCTCAATATATATTCAATTATTATACTAATTTAATTCTAATTAATTAAATACTTGCACGAAACCTACGGAAAATGTATAATATTCCGAAATATTATATATAAGTCGAAGGTAATCGTACGTAAATGAATTTTTTAACTATGACTACATCAGATTGAAGAAATTTTTGAATATTTCTAACTCCATATTCTTTTATTTATTTTCTCTTTTCTATAACATTGGATTATTGGAAAGATTATAAAAAAAATGAATATATCCGTCAAATGTAAGGAAACAAGATAAAAATTTGGAATAAAATATATTATAAAATTTAATATCTTCGAGTGTAATAAACGTTTTATAAAAAACTTAGTTTCATTTCTAATGCTTAATCTTTCTAGAAAATAAATTATATATTTATTAATGGCAAGTGAAAACAAAAAATGAAATGATAAAACATTGCATCTCTTTTAGAAACACAATGTGCAAAATACAAATGTCCCAATAAATTCAATAAACATTGATGATGCATCTGAAGAATCATTTTCCGATATTATCAAACTGATACACGAGAATTGGTAAATATTCTAGCAGTGATCATGAGACTGACAATGAGCTAATATTGATGATAATGAAATCGAGTGATAAGAAAATACGCTGAAATTGGTTAATTCTTTGTAGTCTAATGCAGTAAAAAAAATTAAACTGAATATTAAAGTGTAGTTAAAAAGAAAAAAATACTTAATGTTATCTGTACAAAGTGAATTGTTTGCATGTATAAAGACACATGTATAAGTTTTGCCCGTATTACTAGACGTAAACATAAATATCTATAAATATTGAAATAAATTTTATGTTAAGTCAAGAGGATAAAATACGAATTGCGAGTTTTTCGAGTTTGTTCCTCGTTAAAAATATTTTCGGCCCTGAAAAGGGCCATTACAACTGTAGCGAGTATATCCTTCGCAGAACAATTATTTCTTCGCTGCGGCCTTCACGGTCTTCGATGCCGTGGCTTTCTTCGGCTTGGGCGTCTTGGTCTTCGCCGCGGGTGCTTTCACGGCCTTCTTAGCCTTCGATGGTGACTTAGGCTCCGCGGCAGCTCTGCCCTTCTTCGCGGCAGTTTTCGCGACGGTCTTCTGAGCGGGCTTCTTCGGGCTCGCCGGGGCTTTCTTAGCGGCAGCCTTCTTCGCGGCAGCTGGTTTCCGCGTGGTCTTCTCTGCCCGCGAGTCCTTCTTCGCGCCCGCCTTCAGTATTTCCGAGTGAACCAACGAAGAACGTTGCGTCTTCCCCTTGGCCTTGGTGGGCTTCGGCTTGTCCACGGACAGTTTGAAGGAGCCGGTGGCGCCCTTGCCCTTGGTCTGCACGACAGCACCCGCGGAGACGGCGGTCTTGAGGTATCGCTTGATGTACGGAGCGACCTTCTCGCCATCCATCTTGTAGGTCGACACGACGTACTTCTTGATCGCCTGGAAGGATGAGCCCTTACGATCTTTCAGCTCCTTAATGGCAGCCGTCACCATCTCGGAGGTTGGCGGATGCGACGAGACCTTCTTCTGCTGCGACTTAGCCTTACTCTTGCTAGCCTTCTTAGCGGGGGTGGCATTGCTCTCGGCGGCCTCGACGGCTGCGTTTCCACTGACCTTGTCGTCCATCTTCAGCGAATATGCGCTTGGCGTCCAAAACGAATCGTTCCACAAAAACGTCTCTCAATATCCCACAGAATGCAGAACAGTCAGATTGCTGATTGCGTCCATACCCGCGCTGGCGCGCTTTAGTACCTAGCGCGCGGACCATGGAGAGAGACCTACCCAATATGTCGACCCGTTAGTTTGACGCAAAGCAACGGAGCGGTAAACGTACTTCGACTTTGCAACGTTATTTCTGCGAAATTAAAATCGATAGGAATACGCGGAGCATATTAGCACGTAGCCACGTGTATACGATTTTGTTTTCAGGTCCGTTAAACGGTTCCGCGATCGCGGGCCGCCGTCCACAATGTAATTTCGACGCTCATCTATTTTCGCGCTGATAGCATAGCCCATGGAAAAACATAAAAACTGAGCCTTTCCCGGAATATTTTTGATGTTGCCTCTCTAGAAAAATGTGCCGACGAAACGGCCTCAAATCGTCGATTAATAATTCCCGCCCGATAACGGCTTGCATCGCGAAAATAAGAAGATTAATTCGCGGCCTCTCGGGATACGCGCGATCGTGAGGTGCATCAGGCAAAATGGCCTTGTTACTTCGTGGCTTAATGGTATATAATGCAAATCGATGGATCCTACGATTTTTAATTTTCATTATCGTCCGCACTGAAATTTACAACGAACGCGATAAATCATTTGTAAAATTAATCCTGGGATGCTTGTCCTGGCCGAGTTAATGAGCGAATACCGTGTAGTTTATCCCACCAGCCACGTGATGCATACCATCCGAGAACATGAGAAAAATCGATTCAATAATGTATTCCCGTTAATAATTTTTTTATTTAATGACAATGTTTATTAACAAAGTAGAAATAAAAATTCAATTTACGCGCTTTTAAAATAATAATAATTCTAAATTCTGAAAAAACTTGTGCCGTCTTTTCAAAATCATCATTGTTGCCGTCATATATGACGGATTTCATTTTTTTTGTTAGTATAAATTAATGACGTTAATAGCAATAATAATATATCAAAGTTATTAAAAATATTGAAATTTTATTATGATAAAATAATTTCTCCAATGTGTTTGCTCGTAATATTCGTCCAAATAAAAAAAGGATTAATATCGTCTTGCGTACATGTGTATGAGAAACACATTTTACCGACAGGACGATATAGCAATTATAACAATTATACGATAAAGTTTGTTTCTTAACTGTTTGCATCTGTGAAACAGATTTTATTTCGCAAATGAAATTATGAATAGGTTACCCAGAATCAAATTTACATATTTAATTATGTTAAAAAAAAAATCTCCACGTATATAGAAGTATAATTAATTCATCATTGTATTCATATACATTCTGTAATATTTTATTAATTTCAACTTGTTAGGTCTCTCTAGAGTACTGGAGTATTGTTGTTTCACAGTTTAAACTAATATTAATATAACGCTTGTGTTGCGTAGATTTAAAAAAAATGTATGTATTGATGTAGATAAAATAAAGCTCAAACATTTGTCGTACTTGGAATATGATAAAATGTGGAAAAAAGGATTGTACATAATAAAAGATTTATTTTATTGCATCTATTATTAGTTTGGAAACATTTTCGGAGTTGTGAATTTAAAAAACATAAATATTCTGTATCACATATTGATATAATTTCAATAAAATTAAAAATTACTTTTATACAATTCAATTTATAAAGCATGTTTTAATTTATACTAATTTATTAATATATAGCTTACATAAAATTATCTAATAAAGTTAATCTGTAAAAACGTATAATAATTAATTAATACATAAATTCATCATTTAAATAAGTAAATACAATAACAATGTATTTGATAATGCGTGCGTGCATGTGCATGTGTACACGTGTGTGTACGCATGCACATATAGATAGTAAATTATCACTCACTGCATGTAAATTTTAAACTACGATAATTACGCGTAATAACGTTACTTTCTTTTTTCGCTGTTATAAATTAATGTTGGTTTGTACTCCTTTATAATCATACTAGGTATAAAGTTTCATTTACTTAATTTCAAAAATCATACAAAATTTATAACATAATTAGATATCACGTAAAATAATTAAATGTAATTTTACTTATTCGTGATTTATTTTAGTTATGTTAATATATTAGTTATTTTTATATTGAAAAGTTTTCAGTATATATTTTCCACTTTTTCTCAAATTTTTTTTTTTTTTACAAAAATTAATAAATCATCTATTTCTAATATTTTATATATTTTTTACAATATTTATTATTTTATATTAAATCGTCTCTACATTTACCATATGTTTAATTCAAAAGTTCATGCAAAATTTTCATTACTTGCACAGTACACATATACACGCGCAATACTAAAAATTAAATAAAATAAATAAAATAAAATAAAAAATAATAAAAATAGGTACGTCTTTATCCAACTTACAACTAGATAACCAATATAAAAAATATAAATATAACAAACTACACATGCTTAACAAAGACATAAATAACAATTTTTGGAACAATCGTACTTGTCGTCATTTAAGAATATTCCTTACGGATACATTTTGCAATCGTTGATAACTGCATATTGCTTGTACCTTCGTAAATAGTACCGATTTTTACGTCCCTATAATATTTTTCTTGGGGAAAGTCAGTCGTAAAACCGACGCCTCCCATGAAATCTATGCATTTTGCGGTGATACGACACGCGGTTTCGGACGCGAAAAGCTTCGCCATAGCCGCTTCCTTCATGACGTCCTTCTTAGCTTCCACCAGTCTCGCCGCGTTGTAAACGAGCAACCTGGCGCATTCCAATTCCATTACCGCTTGGGCTATTTGATGCTGCAGGCTCTGGAAGGAGAAAATGTCCTTTCCAAATTGTTTCCTCTCCAATGTGTACGGTATGGTCGCGTCCAAACATCCCTGTGCTAGACCGATCATCTGCGCGCCGATGCCGATTCTGCCTTCGTTGAGAAACCCGGCCGCGTATCTGTACCCGTGTCCGAACTTCCCCAGCAGATTGTCCTCGGGTATTCTAACGTTGTCGAAGTGCACCATGCAAGTACCCGACGCTTTGAGACCCAGCTTGCTCTCGGGTTTGCCCACCGTCAGACCAGGCGTGTCGCGGTCCAGGAGGAAGGTCGTGATGCCGCGATAACCGGCGGCGGGATCCGCGTTGGCGAAAAGCACGAAGATCTGCGCCGCGTCGGAATTCGAGATCCACATTTTCGTGCCATTGATCACGTACTCGGCGCCCTCCTTTCTCGCTTCGGTTCTCAGGGAGAAGGCGTCCGATCCCGAACCGGGTTCCGACAGGCAGAAACTACTTATGGAATCCCGGGCCAGTCTGGACAGGTACTTTCGCTTTTGCTCCTCGGTTCCGAACTTAAGAATCAATGAGTTTACGAGGGTGTTTTGGATATCGACGGACACAGCCACTGCCGAGTCGACCTTGGAGATTTCCTCAATGGCTAGAATCGTGCTCATAAAGTTGCTCCCCGTACCGCCGTACTCCGTCGGAATCTCAATACCCATCAGGCCGTTCTCGAACAGCTTCTGGAACACACCATCGTCTATTCTGCCTTCCCTCTCCATTTTTCGTACCAGCGGAGCGATCTCCTGCTTGGCTAGTTTAGCGACCATTTCCTTCGTCATGAGTTCGTCGTCTGTAAATTGTGTCAGCGGGCCTGTGGCGTATCGAAAGTGCGACGCATGTAAATGTAATCGGCGCGTCGTAATCAATTTCTGCTGCGTACGGCGTAGAGCAGAGCGGAATGCAGGTGGATACATGATTGACGCTGATTTTCTTGTTCGATGAAAAACAAAGAAAGCGGACAGGTCCGAATATTTGTGGAGCACGATATATGGTGTAAATTAAGGTCTACGTGACTAACGCACACGACTCACTGAAGACTGATGTCGATCACTATCTATGAACTGTCGCGTTTTACAAAAAATGTTTATCATGTGACGTCGTATCAGTTACAAAACCTAGCACGCGAACTGCGATGAAGAAATAATGTGTATTTACATAGAAATTTTAAAGTATAATGAGTCCCGTGCTGCGGGACAAAGGTTCCTCGATCGTATATAATTTCTTGAGCAATTATATCAATAGAAATTTACTTATAAATAAGTATACACAGATAAGACGGATTGAAAAGTTGTCGAGAATTCGCAATTCCGATTTATAACCTAACAGTTCGAGCTACTGCACGCATATCATGTAGTAGCTAAATTCCAATTCTTCCCCACTTTGAAAACTTTGCGTAAGCGCCATAGGCGTAAACACAATTGTAAGCGGGCATATCGATAATGAACTTTATCTTTATGAAAGATAATAGCATCAATGTTAAACTAGAGTGTTACAAAAGGTCAGTTAATTTTGCGGTGTGTTCGAGGAAAAAAAAAGTAAAATAAACATCATCCCGTATAGTTTTTGAGGCGAGGAATATTCGATGGTGCTAATACTGCTAATTTAAACTTACGTCACATGATCGGAACACATAGAAAATTTAGTTTAAATCAGAAAAATGTGTGACATCACAGTAATTCGCAAGAATCGTAAGACAGGTTGCTACGTTATATGGCATCACAATGTGATACATGGTTTGAAAAATATTAAGTATAAAAATGTTATATTAAAATAGTGAAAAATATCAAATGCAATATGAAAAGTTTCTGTGTGCTTGCATGAACGTGTTTCGTCACGCCGATCCGACATCCGCTCATTTCCTATGATAATGACTAACTTAAAAAGCAATAAATGCAAACGTTTTAAATCAATAAATTTTATTAACGTTAATTTTGATATTCACTTTTGATGTAATAATTAATTATAGGAGACTGTAAAAAGTATGTTCTTTAATTTGTTTGCGTTCTTTTATTATGTTTTCGCTTTTTACTGCAAGCAACTAAAAAATGACATTTTCGAGTTATGTAAGTTGTTATAGCAAATTATATGTTCATTCGTGTAAGTGCATAAAAACTTTCTGTTCCGTCTGATATTTTCGCTATTAAATATATTATATTTATGATTATAGAAGATGGAAAAAGATGGAATAGAATTTGAGTTCGGGGGATTTTGTGTTCTAACTCACAATTAACACGCTAACAAGTGCTCCGCTACTCTTGTAATTATGCTCTGATCTTCTCTCAATAATCAGTCTTACAGTCCCACATTTCTACAATGAGATTCTACATTTTTAATGTCAAAACATGATATATCATACATACTACGTGTATCATCGATATATATAGCGTAACGAATGACTGCGATGTCACGAATTTTCCCGATTTAAACTCAATATTTTTGTGTGTTTTTAATGTAATTTTAACCTAGTATCTACTATATTAGATTTCTTGTCACAAGAAATGATGTAGGTACATTTTACATGAAGAGACACGGCCGATTTTAATAAGACGCGCGCGCACACACACACAAAAGCATTTGACATCCAACACGAAAAACTACTGTGTCTCCTCATTCTTCTCGACCAAAGCAAAAACAGGCTTTCGTAACATTCCTTCCAGCAAATATAAATATAACACGAAATGAATGTATGTTACGTGTAATGTGTATGTTCATCGTAATTCCTAGCTGTAACGTTTGTAATAAAAAATTATTACAAATAAAGAACTTTTTGTAAATATATTAACCTTAAATATCTAGTTATACATAGTATACGTTTCGGATATAATATGAGTAATAACACAAATATACATTGTTATATTATAAATGTTATATCTATGTTATTATAACTCATGTTATATTAGTAGTTATATCCCAAACATATGCTTTATAACTATAGATATTTGAAATTATATCCACAAACAATTCTTTATTTGTGCTATGGAATATAAAAATTCTTTCACACGCCAAAAAATTTATCAAACTTATCAAATGTGCGTTTTTTTACAGTTTAGATTATTTAAAATTGTTTATAGATATTTTAATAAAATTTAAAAAAATAACATTTTTATTCAACTAAATTTAAAAAAATAAATTGAGCAACTAAGTAAATTGTTTTCCGTAAATGATCATATATGATTATGAAAAAGATTGATAAATTACATGGTGTCCAGCGATTTTTAACTAGCCAATTCAAGGATATGTCCAGGTAAAAATCATAGGTTTTCCAGATTAATTTTCATTGATTCGCGATATTATATTTGAATTCAAGTTAAGATTCTATATGACGAATCAATTAAAACGGAATACAATTTTTGACATTATATCCAAATTTTCTATTAATAACTTTTGCCTTATTGCATCTTTAAAGGAGGGCTTATACCTAAACATAACTTTTCTCCTTAAAAAAAATCTGACTTTGCTATGTGTGGTTTGTAAAGAAGTTTATACATGAATTTTGAACTTCAACATAGTTTTCCACACACGCGCGAGAAATAATTCTTATTTCTTTCCTTTTTTACATTTTTTTTTTTTAGAATGAAAGAATGACAAAAATTCCAAGTCAATCCTAAAATCCCAGAGGTTTTCTGGGAATTTTTCAGGCTTCATTAAATTTCAGAATAATTCTAGGATTTAAGAATCGCCCTGTTATACAATAAATGTACAGTCATGGATACATCGGTTGCGACACTTTTTTTTATAGGTTTCTAATATATATTTAATATACATAATATATACTTTATAGATAATTAATATTTTGCAAATTCGAACCACGATGTACTATCTTTAGTCTAGAGACAATATAACACCATAATCATGGTCAGCATTTGTAAAATATTAGTGCGTTTTGAAAACCTTTAAAAAAGAAAATGTCGCAATCGATGTGTCCATGACTGTACATATTACAAAAATTATTTTTTTTTCATAAATCTCAGTGAAATTTTTTGAGTGTTCTTCTGAATAGAAGACAATTTTTTTTATTCCATTAATAGAATAATAAGAATTTTCATGTTCATTATATTAATACAATTATATTAATAAGAAAAGTTAACAAAAATCGATATCTAGTCATTTTGGATGGCTAACTAGAGAGAAAGAATGAGAGAGAGAGAGAGAGAGAGAGAGAGAGAGAGAGAGAGAGAGAGAGAGAGGGAGAAGAAAGAGGAAACTGCATAAATCTTTCTGTAGATTATCTGCATTTCATCATAAATGTGACTTCGGTGCTATCGTATAAGTACTATAAGTTATAAAAGCATAACGACCTTTCTTATTCTTTATGAAAACAGCAGTAAACGGATCCACGCGATTAAGTCGACAGCAGTCGGGAGCCAATCAGCAACATGCATCAGAACTGCAAAACTAAAAAGAAAGAAGTGAAACGCAAGCTATACGGTATAATTCACTGTGCGCATGCGCGGAAAGCGAAAAAGTGATTCAATCGATCAAATTCAGTTGGAATCAATGAAATTCGCAATGCGTTAGCTCAACGCCCGCATTAAATATTGAAATTTCGATGTATTTTTATATATATATATATATCGTAATTTTTTAATAACACATTAAAAGACTGACAAACTTGCAATACATTTTTCAACGCTTCCAAACTCTTTACATATTTTTGTTTTCTAAGTTTTCTTTGCAAATATTCATTATTACTTGTATCATTAGTGTTTCGAAGCAACAAACCGAGCATAGCTACGCTCTAAATGCTTGGAATATCGCCATCAAGAATAATATAAAGTTAGAATTTGTAGAGTGTAGACTCGGCACGATGACCGATGAGTTCTGTGTATCCCCACCACTGTCGCGCTAGCCAATCAGCGTTCCGCGTGCGGGGCCAGCTTCCCTTTATAAACACAGCGTTTTCCTGGCGAGCGCACATATCGCTACATCTCCTTGTGGATCGCAGACCAGACATCATTCGCATTCGTTCGAGATGGCCCGTACCAAGCAGACCGCTCGCAAGTCAACCGGAGGCAAGGCTCCGCGTAAGCAGCTGGCGACAAAGGCAGCGCGTAAGAGCGCGCCCGCAACCGGTGGTGTGAAGAAGCCGCATCGTTATCGTCCTGGAACCGTCGCTCTTCGTGAGATC